TGATGGGTATTTGTCATATCTTTTTCTGGATATTTTACCAAACAATTAACCGATTAATTCAGAAAAATAGCAGGCAATTGAATTGAGAGCGAATGTAATCATTAGTTGTGGCCCTACATTATGCAATATTGTATATATTTATACTCGTTTGATACTCTGAATGACCACATAGGGATTGTTTGTATCAGCCTGAGAGGAAAAAAAGATTTCTTTCACAAAGCAAAAGCTGGTTTAGATTTCTTTAAGCCACAATTCATAGTCGTGCCGATGGAGGGCTGACTCCTCTGGACTCTGCACAGCCGCCGCGTGAACCTTCCATAACATGCCAAGTAATCCATTTAACAAGAGACGGACATGATTTTACTCAACGGAGAGATCTCAAATATCATACATCCTTCCCCTCATGTGAACATTTGCAAAATCCTAATATTAAAGGATCCCGGAGACAGAATGCCATAGATAGAGACACCAGCAATCTTATTTACACAATCATTCTAGGGTTCTTTGGTTTGGTAGTGGTTCTTATAAGTCTGTAAAAGTCCTTTCAATACGCTGGTTTCCAAATGATGGGCGTTGGTAAGGGTTCTATATATGGTAAAAGAATAAAAGCCTCCATTGCGCTCCTCGCATTCACAGACATCACACGACCGACCCCGTTTTTAAAGCAACAGGAAATGAGAGAGTAATTAAAAAGAGCAGGACACTAATTATTCCCTCTTCATGAGGGATTAATCGTTCCAAATTGAAGGCGACAACTGGCAGGCTTGTCCGGTGTTGGTCGGAGAGCCCATTGTGCCGTTTGCTGGTGGCTGGCCCTCGTCTAATCTCCCATTTGCTGGCTCCCATCTCCCCGTCTGTCACCCTGCCAGCAACATGGAATTTGCAGCTCCATTTGGGACTGCTAAAAAAGGCAAGGCAGCCCAAGTGGAGGAGGTGCAGCCAATGGCGGCTGACCTGTCCAGTTGCTTGCTGTAAAATAAGGGGGTGGAAGGGGAAGGGGAAGGGGGGGGGTTGCTTTCCCTCCCCTCTGACACAGCCGAAATGCTGCTCTCCCTCCGACAACACAACCTCTCTCTATGTACTGTCTGTTTAAGGAGCACCCTTGTGATAAGAGCGCATATCTAACAAGTAAATTAACTTTCCATTATCTCAGTGATTCTCTCTCGTCACCTACTTCAAGCCACCGCTCTGCCCTGACAACAGCAGCCAAGACAGGAAGACAACTTGAATACTATATGTTCAAGTGCAGTTCTCAGTTTAAGGCTGAATTAATTAACAAATCATTTTCAGTTGTTGACGGAGACCAATTCAACTGAATAGCGTTTATATGCATGCTATGTGTTACATAAAGAGTCGGTCAGATGTGTCGCAGGATGTCCGAAGAGCCACAATGCGAGGAAAACAAACATGTCAGCTGTTGGTCTGGACGTTTCGCTTGCAACACTACAGCGACAGAGACGATGTGATCTGTGCTCATGAGCAGGAGGGCAACAAACAGACTTCAAGATTACACCAGCAACAGCACTGAAAGCCAGAGCAGCATGGAAGAGAGAGAAAGAGATGGAGTAATGGAGGAAAGGAGAGAGGGAGGGAAGAGGAGGGGAAAACCAGAGAAGACAGAGATACTGAGAATTCTGTCCTAAGCTAGATCCTCCATCCCCGTCCAAAAATAACCCCAAAAGCATAAAAACATCTGTACAGTAGGCACGTCTGATATCAAGAAGCAGCCACAGAAGCCATAACCATCCAAAGATCAGCTGTGGGATGCCACAATAATTACAGAATGTACCCTCTCTGTGAAGTATTGATATTCATTTTTGGAGTCACTCCTTCACCTTCTTCATTCAGCTCTACGTCTGACAACATTACATTTTCCCAGAATGCATTTCTACAGCCCTCAGAGAACAGCCTTGAACTTGCTCGTCTTCAGCTGTCGGTTTTAAGTGCTTAATGTGTGCTGCGAGAGCAATAACGACAGAAAAGACAGGCTTTTCCAGTCACGCAACCTAAACTTAATGTCATATTATTTTAATGCTGCAATCGGCTCAACTAAAGACGCTGCGGGTGGAATGATACACGGTTTGAGTCGATGCCAAAACGACGTTTCTAGAAAGAAGCCCTTGCTCTTTGTTCTGACATCTCTCGCAGCTAGATGACATTTCGCAAGCTTAGTTTTGTCAGTACCCGATTTAGGCCCGGTGACATTGGCCCAAGAACCAATTCACGGCATCTAGATATGCATCAGAACAATCAGCAGACGAGCAAATTATAATGTGTAGGGCCGTTCCCGACCAAAGATATTTTAGTCGACCTCCACTCAAATGATTTAATTGCTAGCTTAACAGCTGCGAGCACAGACGAGAGCCATGTTCGTTGTTTACAATCATCATAATACTTTTGGGGGGGGGGGGGGGGGGCTTTAGAGGGAGGCCCGCTAGCTACTTCCACTGGAAAAGAGAAGAAGAGAGAGCAGCACTGGCTAAGCTTCAACGTTGGATTATTCTTAAAACGCGCTCTTGCTAGTTTCTCAAGATTACGAACACAAGCTTTAAATCTTGTGTTTATCAGAAATGCGCTCGTACATTTCTTGGAAATAAGTAATTCAGCATGAAAAAAAAAAGCACCAACAGAACTGAAGTTACTAATCTACTAAAGACATCTTAGTCAACTGAGACCCTAGTAAAGGAACTTACAGCCTTCTCAGTCTCAAACTTTAAACAAACAAACAAAACTATGAAAAGAAGAAGTTGTAGTGTGATATGAAGCATGACTCTGACATTGCAAGATCCATTACACGACTTACAATGTATTTAGAAAAATGAACTAATTCTGCTGAATAGCTTCGGAGATTTAGGATTTCCAGAGCAGGAAACTGTTGATCCTTTAATGGACCGCCGATGTGAAATGACTTCTGTCTTGAGCTAATTCCTCCACCATGTTACATGTTGAACATTGTAGGATGGTAAATACACACTTATCTTCTAACCCTTTTTCTTCTCCAAAATGTCCTTACCCCCCCCCCCCCCAGGCCATCGCAAACTCTGAACCGTTTAGACTGGCTTGCACTGCATGTATGACATTCTGCTCTCATGATGAATGGCGCCCAGACGCTGCAGAGGCGCACGCATCAGACCCACTGCACAGAAATGAACCGCCGTCTCCACTCGCCATTTCCTAACCGTAACTGCGCTGATCCCGACATTGGATCACAAAATGACAATTCCTAGGGTGTCCCTCGGTGAGTGGGCTTCACAGGGCCCACGCTGGTCTCCCACACTCATGATTGCAACGGTCACAGCGTCACCGACAGCCACCTAAATAGACGTCACATGAAACGGGACGTAAAATATCACTCAAATGTTTCCATTCCAGCCACTCATATCTACATCCTTACCTCCCCTCCATATCACTAAATGAGTAGGGGGGGGTGGGGGGTGGGGGTGGGATCACAGGACTCCAAAGACAGCTGCAGCTTATAAGGAATGTGAGGGGCCTCAGCCAAGAGAGCAGGCAGGGAAACCATACCATATATGGCAACAGAGCAATCTAATTTTTATCAATGAGCAGAGCGGGCATGAGAGTGGTGGCTTAACACACAAAGGTTGATCTCCCATCCCTGACGGTGTACGCTACGTGTTAATTAGCGCCTTGTAAAAACAGCACGCAGGCAAACAGGCCTGCAAGTGTCCGTCTTCAAAGGGGCGTCCTTAAGCCTTGTAAACAGCGAGCGGAGGGAATCTCGGCTTCCAGCACCTGAGCGCACGGAGGTGTGGACGGCGAAGCGTGTCTGCCTTACCGCTTCGCTTCAAGATCTCAAAAGACCTGAGGTTTAAGAACCCTCGCAGTGATGTGGTAGAAAATACAGAGACCCGAACTGCAGTTCAGTGAGGATGAGAGGAGGCCACACAGCCAACTAAAAAACAATCATGAGGATTTCAGAGCAGAAATTCATCTTTTATCATTTTGGGTTTTTCTAAACTCCCCATCCTAAATTCAACGTCACGACCACTTTTAGAAGGTTAGCGAGTTTAAAAACGGCACAAAATGTCTGATGTTGAAATATTTTCAGAAATGTAAGTTCTGTTACCGATCTCCGCGTTTCATCCGTGAACACCAGACAGCTCCGTCACAAAATAGAAGATAAACACCAAAGTCCTCCTCCGTGCAGCAGGTTGCGTGTTTCTCTAACACAACCCAGACCTGCTGTGATTTATCTCGGAGTGTTACGAGGCTTTCCTGGACGAGAGGTCAGAAAGGTAAAGTGTAGACATCTCCCTTTAGTGAGTGGAGTAATACTCCACATCTTATCTGGCTCTCCCTTCAGGTTTAGAGCCCTTTGAAAAGGACCACGAAGACTTTTTGGTTTAATTTAACGAATGACTTGTTGCTGAGAACCAAACCACGAGCCCAAAGCAGAGGCCTCGCATATTACCGGCAAAAGTTCAAAACTGTTTACAATAGGACAAAGATTATTTTCCACAGCTGCTTGTAGGTTTGATTTATTTGCTCTCTTCATGTGCCTGTCTAGCCTTTTCTCTGTAAAGATTTCCCACTATATCTATTAGTGACTCTCTATGGTGCTGTATCGGGTTTTTTATTATATTTTTTAATTTGCTATGTCTCAAAGTCACAAAGACTTTAACTCGGGTACGATTGTTTCTGAAAGACCAGGGGACAGGGATATGAATGAGTGCATTTAATGGAAATTCAAAGCTACCGCCTCGCTAAGTGGGTTCTTAATTGTTGTCCCCTTTCCACTTTTTGATTCTAACCTTTGTGTCGCCCATGCTCTCCGACTCAGACACCTGATAGGTGAGGTCCGTCTCCTCGAAGCCCGTGGCGCTCATGCGCTGGTCCGTGGAGGGGTCGTTGCGCGGCGGCGAGTCCGGCGAGTTGAGGCATGTTTGGATCAGAGCTTTCCCCGTTTCACTCGTGATCATGGGTTGGAGTTTGCGGGTGGCAAAAGTGTAGACGTGACCCGTTTCGCTGGCCACAAGCAGAAGAACCTGGGTTCCCGTCAGGGTGGAGAGTTCATAGGCCTGGGAAAGAGACAGAAGAAAATTAAAGTATATGACGGAGAGCATGGGCCCAGAGTCAGGCTACAGTTCAAACATCACAACGATAAGCTTGGATTACCTTCATTTACAGACAAAGTGATTTCAACTGGAAAGGGAATATACAGTAAGAGAATCCAACGGTGAACCTCTGGGAAAATATAACCGAGCCAAGAAAAAAAAAAAAAAAAAACACTATTAACTGAAAATACCCCTGTAGTGAACTCTGACGTATAGCACAAATGAAGCTAAAATAACATGAGATAAGGCTCCCAGAATAGAGTGTGTGATATAGCGGAGAGACTGATTGCAGCTGGCTTGCATAGGCAGGGGGAGTCGCAGTAACCCAGTCTTGACGGGGGACACAAGGAATCATTCTCAACACCCAGAGGTAGCCGGCTGTGAAACATGAGGCCATCACAGTCTGCTCCCTTGCCATTCATTATACAGCGTGCGCACACACACACACACACGTACACACACGCCGATGCTGCACTCAGATTGAACTCCTGAGAAAGCCTTTTTATCTAAATGAGTCACAAGTTATGTGGAGGATGCTTCTGGTGCTGTGAAGGCACAGCGCCATTACCGTCACCTTGGTGAACACAGTACAGTCAGAGCCGGCTGATAGATGTGTCATTGTAACGCTGGCGCACAGGAAGAGGAGACAAATCACATTCAAATTAAAAAGGCTTTTATTGAGCCGTGATAAAAACCCATGCATTCATACTGGCCCACTCCATCACGCTCAAACACTGTGCTCATTGTGGGCACTATCGGTCCAATACTCTATATGTGGTCACATGCTGAAGCCGACTGTAGATTTATCTTTTGTGTGCAATAATATGATGACAAGAGCACAGAAAGGCTAATGATGAGCAACTACTGCCGTAGTGGCTGAATGCTGCTACGCGCTTGTTTCCCCTGAGCACTTCAACCCTTAATTATATAGAGGGTTTTTTATGTGTGTGTGCGTGTTGAAGAACGGTGTTAAATGGAATGTCTAGCTGCACAATTCAACTCTCCCCCTGCTAATGCAGCACTACAGAAGTAGGCAATGAACTACACAGCCCCAGTCATCCTCTTCTACTACCATCTCCCTTGAGTAGCTCTGCAGCAGCTACAGAGGAGTCTCCAACAACAGAGTCTGGTGTTTGGCAGGAAAGGGCTAATCTGTCACCTTAAATGTGCAAGGTGGCGGCACAAACTAGACCCACACAATGCTTTAATAAGTTCCCTTGCTCTGCTGATATTCTCATAAATATTCATGGCTGCATAGTGCCAATTACTCTGGCTGTAATTGGTTCCTCTGTCACACAAAACGTCCCAGTCAAGCCTACATGTCAAATAAAAAAAAAGGAGCATAAGATAAAGTCACGGATGGCCGCAAACGTGTAATGTATTTGTGCAATTCCAAACAACGGTATATTTTTCAGGTGTCATCCTGGCAGTTTGAACACTAGTAGCCTTGTGACTATACAGTTGCTAGTTAAAATTTTAGATGGTTATTCAGACAAATCTAGCTATTTGAAGATGTCACCTTAGGCCCCAGGAAATTGTGATGGACTGCAACTATTGTAGAGCTGTAAATGTAAGACTAGTCTCATATCACGGTATCCCTATAATATTAAAGATAACTTACATTATGGATTTATCCTTCATTCTTTCAGTTTATCATTACGTAAAAAGTAAGATTTTAGTTCCAGGAGTCCGAGGCAGTGTGCAATAAAAATGCAAAGGACTGTGTAAAGAAATGGGAAACTGTCATATAACCATCACGCTTCAGTGAAACGAGAAGAAGAAGAAGAAGAAGAAGGCAGGGTCTTCAATTGCTTGTAAATAAGAACGTAATGGCTGCATTCCATTTAGGCCCTGGTATTGCGCCGGTTGGCTCACTTGCACGGTGTATTGAGGCACTTAAATGGAATGGAGCGACCGTTTATGTTATGAGTTACATCTGTGCTTTTCCTGGTATGACAATTAGGTCTGCCAAGAAAACATGAAATCATGTCCTTTACTGTACAAATACTGAACCCAAAAAGGAGCCACGAGTATTAATCGAGTAATCCTGTGCCTCAAATTGACGTAACAAGTTGTATTGTGTAATTATTTACATGCACAGAATCCAAAGAATTTATGAGAAGAGAAGAAACGGGCCGATGCTTCACTCCTCGCATCCTTCACAATTAAACCACAAGCTCATCCTAGAAACCAGTTTGAGACCAGTCTACTATGACTCTTCCCCCTCCACCCACCTCTCAGTTTCTGTGATGGCTGACATGGTGTAGGCAACGTTTCCAAAAATCTCTATTCGCACAGTGTGTCAAACAGTGTTCATGTTGCCAAGAGCCTACATAACGACGCCTCAGTTTCCACGACAACAGTCTGGGATACATAAAAAAAAAAAAAAAAAAAAAAAAAAAGAGAAACAAAGCAGAATACACACTTCACGCGCTTCAAAAGTAACAAATGAAGATTCTTGCACTACAGTAAACAAGTGTGTTTATTTAAGGTCATAATGAAAAAGGGCCATGTCAGCAGCAAAACGACTGCCGTGCTTCTGTTCAACAGCTAACCTCGTCTCCGAATAATCAACTTTAGATTGCTTGATGCCAAAAGCCACAGAGCAATAATTCATCACGGCACCAATCGAGTGCTTGTGGGTTTCCAGTTTAATACTGCTTTGGTACTAAACTCATGGGAGGTAATCATTACGACCATGGAGCGAGTTCTGTCGTCTTTAATGTCAACTGCTCCTGTGCCAGACCCATCTAACAAAACTGAAACCAAAGCAAGTCATCACTGGATGAGGCTGGCTGCTTGCATCACAACGTACAGTACCATAATGCATGCACAGACTGTCCCTGGCTCCTCTCTTCTGTTTGAGTGCTCTTTGACTGTCCTCTGATCTGGTTTCCCTGGGGTTTAGTCAGCTGTTGGCAACTACAGAGCTCCTGCTGCTGCTGCTGCTGCTGCTGCTCACCACCGCATAGCTGCCGCCTGCAAGCAAAGTCCTGCTTCACAATGACAGAAGGAACAGCCTGTGTGCACTGAGGGCTACTGATGGGGAACTACACTTCCAACAGTTGGAGGCCTATCTTTATGTGTATAGGGGCATGAATTAGTGCGTCAGTTTATCTGGAAATCTGTGTGTCAGGCCGTGTGTGTGTGTGTGTGTGTGTGTGTGATAGCTGGGATGAGCATGGTCATAAATAGAATTGTCATTTGCTCAAAGTCTATTTAAAACCAACTGCCTGTCATGACTTCCTCACACCCAGGGAGCTAGTTTGTGCTACAATTGTTTTTGTCTTTTGTAAAGAAAGGAATTGGTATAAGATGGACTGCAGGTCAAATGCCCTTAAATGTGCCCCACTATTATATTATATTGCAGTGGGCCTACTTTCTCACTGATGTTATGATTCTACAGCTTATTAAGATATAACCTCAACCTCGTTAATTCCATGAATGGAAGCATTAGCAGCACCATGTATTATAGGACTAATGCAGTGTATCAAGACCAAACAAGACTGAAGTGACACTCAAAATCAAATGTGACTGTCGTTGAATGAGATCCAAATGAAATCCCTCGACTCACCTTCTTCATAATACCAGTCTTCCTCTTGCTGAAAGTTGTGTACCGTCTCAACTTGTTGTCAATAAATTCCATCTTTATCTTTACGCGCCCACGTGTCTTCTTCCCCGGCTTTGCCCCCGCGACCCCCCCGGGCACCATGCCGTAACCTCCGGGAGGCATTCCCACCTCCTGCCCCGTCACCGCAGCTTCCATCTCCCCTCTCTCTCGTTTCACCCCTCTCCTGCTGTCCCCGAGTGAACCCACTGGGTCATCCTCGTCTCCGGAGTCCGAGTCATTATCCGAGCCGCTGCACATCGGAGCGCTTTCTCTGTCCGGGTCGAACCTGGCTCCGTGAGCTAACACGACTCCCGAGTTCAAGCCCACCATGTTGCCCTGGACGGCGCTCTGTAGAGAGGTCACCCCAGTCCCGTTCCCCGGTCTCACGCCTCTCGAGCCCCCTGGACCGTTAGCCCCCAGCATCCCGACGGCGTCTCTTTCCCCCTGTCGCCCGTCACTCTCGCCGACCCCTGGTAAAGCTTGCCCTGCTCTGACTAAAACGGGACGGATCCCGCTGCCGACAATCCCCGAACCGTGTCCCGTGTTACCTCTGCCTGAAGCTGACCCGTTTCCAGATGGTGCCGATCCAAGCCGGCTCGGTAACATTATATTTCGGCTACTGAACAGAGTCTCTAAACGCCAGCTAAAAGAGCTGGAGCGCGTTGTCTCGTAAATGGCTGATTAAACGCATCGGCTACACGCCTGGGCCACAAAACGTAAACAAACCAGACCCGTTTGGAGATTTGGAGACTCCAGGAAATAACCGTGACAAACTTTCGAAAGTGATGCTACCCCCAAGACCCTTCAACCCGGCTCGGTTTGGTTCACCCTCCTCCTCTATTACCAAAACTCTGAGAGCACTTTCTCAAAAAGGAAAACGCGAAGAGCGCCCTCGATGTCGATCCGCCATGTTACGTAGTCCGCACTGTGAGCGGAAAACAACGCTGTTTCCGGCCTGCTGGCATCCAATTGCAAATCTTCACTCCACCAAAACGCAATATTTATGTCTTCATAGTTAAGGGACACATAAAACGTCAATTGTTTCTTTTTAACTCCGTTTAAGACAGCGGAGTGATATTACAACCCAGGAACTACTTCCCTCCTTATAAAGAGATACAATGTTTCCTTATATGGTCCTGTCTCTCCTTATTTGGTGAGTCACAGCGTCGCCTATCGATTGGCTGAGGATTATCTGAGTAGCGCTGTCATTGGTCAATACAAACACTCATTAGAATAAATACCAAAATGGTTGCGCTACCGACAACGTCACCGTACACAAGCAGAGGCACTAAAATAACAAAACATCCAACTTTTCATTCCCTACGGATTGTTTTGTCAAACCACAAACCATGTTTTTACAGAGCTTTTACTCCCAAATATCCCTTTAATGAACTTTATTGGCCGTATGATTGTCAGAGGAGTTGTTTTTTGATTTTAGATTAGATTGTATATTGTATCACATTGATGCTGGTGAATGTATGAGTTTAGATGCATTCTACTGAAGGTAGGAGTAGTTGTAATTACTTTTAGAAAATAAAGATAAAAACTGAAAGAGCAAAGTTTGATTTGTGTGATGCGCTTAACCCTGTATAGTTTTCACAATAGGTCTTTTTCACAGCAGACATTTTGGCTTCAACTTGTCATAGCAGGAAAAGCACAGGTGTAATTTTTAACATTAGCAATGGCTATTAAAGCGCCCCATTAAAACAGTGAGACGGAATGTACAATACCAGGACCCTGAGCTGAAGCAACCATATGGCATTCAGCCATCCCTTTAATTATTTGCACAGGTGTTTTTCATAAAAATGTGTTCTGTGATAAAAAACCCTTCACTGGAAAATCTGTCAGAAGCCCTTGGTGTATCTGACAGTGTTTGAAACTATGCTGTAAGGCAAGTTAAACAAATGCCACACAGCCTGTCACGGGATATTCAAATAATTTCTCAAACAAGATTTGTTTGCAAGTTGGCACATGTATATGCACTTGAAAAAAAAGTTGCAACGATATCACAAGTGTTGAAGTTGGATCTCATTAAGACTCAGTTTGTCAGATAAGAATGGACAACACACACACACACACACACACACTTTTTCAGAGGGCAGTATTGGGCCCCTCCCTTTTCTGCAGTCCAAAAACAACAACAACAATAAAAAACAAAACATGTGTCCTGCACTCACTAGGACCACACGGAAACAGCAGCCGCTCAAGCTCCCAATCCCCTCTCAGCTCTCTCCCCTCTCCTCTGGTACTGTCATCTACAGTCTGACTGTCAGTCAAACCGTGTCAGCAGCTCAGCAGAAACGTCAAGTTAGCAACGTCCTGACACATTTCATTTCATTTATTTAAAACCTCAGAAAACACATTGAGCGAGAAGCCTTATTATCAATGGTGCCCGAGGTTTACATAGGCCTACAATATGTGATAGAGACAACTTAAAGTAAATAGTTCTAAAAGAAGAATACAACGGAAACACATAGCTGACGAGATACAACAGAATGATTGTTAAAAGCAGTGCAAACGTCATGGCTATCAGCGATCTCAGTAAGGTCATCAACAACAGAGGCAGGTACGGTTGCTTGAGTTGTTAGAGGTAGATTTGACTCATTTCCAGAATTTAGCAATGAGTAAAAGAAGAAAAGATAATAGTCAGTTGTTGCTTTTCTAACAGCAGTAGTGCACCTACTCCTCAATTGTCTAAACAGTCTTTGGTGTGTCCCAGCCAGAGACCATTCTTTGTTTCGAGAACAAAATTAAAGCCAGAAAGCTCAGCAGTGAACCAGGGAGTGGAGCAACATGTTCTTGTCTTTTTAAAAAGCGCATGCTCAACTAAAATAGAGTTAAAAACAACGGTAAAATAGCTTAAAGCTAGTTCAGGATCAGGGATTTTTGAGATTGTAAGCGATTGGGCCGGGGTAAAGGTCACGTAAAAAAGGCCACACCGCCACTTTTAACTCCTCTCTTTGAAAATAGTAAAACCACTGAAAGAAATGTTTGATTATCAATCTGTTTTTTTCAGCCAAGTCAAAATCATAGGTTAGAATCCTAACATCCGAAAGCATTTGAGACAGTAGGATGCTCAAGTGAACATATTTTCTATGCCTTAATAAATTACCAAAACCACTTGGATCATTTATCTTAACATCTGTGATGAGTGAAGAAGACCTAGAAGAAGTCTGCTCAAGAGCTCAGAGAGCAGGAAGAGCTTCAGGCACATTTGTAACTGAACATTAACAGTAATGAGGTTCCTAGAGGACATGCTTCTGTTTGTTTAGTTGCAAATCTCATAAGGCATCTACAGGTGATTTTTACAGAAATATTGAAAACGATTTTGTCTTTTGTCGAAAATTTGCCCCAACGTTTTCTGGGAGCTGTGGGGGTCGATGGGTCAGGCTCACAGACCCTGCTGTTAGCTTGGAGGCTGGAGGGTCAGTCTAGCAGGTGAGAGGAGAGCAAATATGTTGGAGAACCAGAAGGAGGGCGGTAGGTGTGCAGGGTCCATGTCGGCCGGCCTCCAATGTCCACGTACCTCTGGATGTAGAGCCTCCAACATGCTCTGCGAGCCCTGGCTCTCGTCTCACCCGCTAGACTGCCTCTCCAGCCTTGGTAAAGCTTGGGAACTCCTGCAGATCCAGGATGTCTAATCTATTTGCAAGTCTGATCTCATAAGGTTGTAGAGTGTGACAAGATCGCATGCAACTTTGTGTTTCCCCTGCCAACGACAGCCCTGCTGTCAGTAGGTTCAATATTGGGAGCTGGCCCAGTAGGATCTAGGGATCTTCAGCTTGACTGGGGGCAATCTCCGGAGTCACGGTGGCGATGGAGCCTGACCAAGGGATAGTAGTGTCGCAAGCCGCCAGTAACAATACCGGAGCTGAACAGTCGGGGGAGCGGGTGACCAATGGACATCACTCCCTGTGGAACCCAGGACAAGTGGTGGTGTTTGGGGAGCAGTTGCCAGCCGAGCTGTCCCAAACATTTGCTCAACTTGTTTCTCTGAAAAACTTAAAATCCAGATGTCCGCATTTCCATAACCAGTGTTACAATCACAGCACAGCAAAGGCATTGTCTCTCTTCTCTGTGGACTTGAAATGAAACCATTACAAAATCTGCTGAATCAGTGTTAATAATTAACCGATTATCTGGCGATAGCAAAGCTTTCCTGTGGATGAATCATCAAGTTGTTTACACAATTTTTTATTAAATTTGTTAATGTAATGTGTGAGATGTTATGTCGTATGACATGTTGGAATATCAATATCACTTTGTAAAGATCTTTAAATTAGCTATAGCATGAATGGCATTGTTGAATTGATGTTATTTTCTTTTTTTTACGGGTATTTCAAACGACCAGTAAGTCAACTGTGCCTCTTCACTCAGCACATTTATGAGAGTATATTTCTCTGGGAATCATTGACTGTGTCTGTAACTCAGCAGTAAAGGCCTCTGTCATGCCAAAAAGTTGATTGTCTGTCTGCCAAAAAACATTTGCAGAAGTGCGGGCAGTCAGTTAAAGCTGTATGCCCAATGTATAGCCCACAGCTGGTTATTTGGATCAAACAGTCCACAATTTAATGTTCATGGTTATTCTGTCATCGCCTCACACATTACAACTGCGTAAAGACACTTACTCTCTGTTGTATGCAGAATTATCTAATTATAGGAGGCATATATTAAAGAAATGAAAGACAAGGCCTAACTTATCAGTGCGATTAGACACTTTTTATTTCATACACCAAGGTTGGCTTGAATATGTGCAACATGGTTCAACTTGAAATGAATGCAACTCAAAATTCAGATGACTTAATATGTTGTTTCATTGTATAGAGGGTTGTAGGTGTAGACACCACATGGTCTGTGGGAACTATGGAAGAGTCTTTAAGTTGGTCCAAATCCTGTGAATCTTTGTCTTTATTTGTGAACATTATGCAATTATCCGCTTTCCAGTGGCATCTTTTTCTTTTTTGTGTTTTTTGGCCGATTGCAGTGCCAATTTTTAGGAGCATACAGCCACCTGCCGTATGTAGAACAGGATCTAGGGTACATTATTTTGTAATACACTGTCAATGCTAACTGTAAATCTAAATTGGTGTGTAGTGGCTAGCACTCTCTCCGGCTTCCTCCCACAGTCCAAAGACATGCAGCTTTGGGTGACTTGATTACTCTAAATTGCCCGGAGGTGTGAATGTGAGCGTTATGGTTGTCTGTCTCTATGTTTTGGCCCTCTGATAGTCTGGCGACCTGTCCAGGGTGAACCCTGCCTTCGCCCAGCTGGCATCGACACTCTATACTTTGACTTTTTCATGATTTTATTCGACATACTTTACTATGCATTTTTTAGACATACTATGTCTTTGTTATGAATTTTGTTTGACATACGAGACTTTTATATGACTTTTTCGACATACTATATAATGACTTTTTTTATGAATTGTTTCGACACTATACTATCACTTTTTCTGACAAAAAATTCCATGATTTCTTTCACTTTTGTCGACGTTCTATACTTTGACTATTTCAGCATTTTTTAGGACATACTATACTAAGACTTTTTTTCACATACTATACCATGACTTTTATGATTTTCTTCAGCATACTATACTCTGACATATTGTATGACTTAATCCATCATACTATACCGATACCATTAACACACATAACTGACTTTGCTTCCTCCCCTCGCAGGTTTCCGTGATCCGTGGTTATATCTGGACCGTGGTCCTGCCTATATCCACTTCTACTGTTATTACTAGTAGTCGTAATTTCATTATTGTGCTTACTACTCTCATTATATGAATGATTTCTGTCATATACATTGAATGTGTTGTAACTCTGTTATGTTGTTCATGCTGTACACATGACATCTATTGCACTTCTGTCCATCCTCTGTTGCTCTCCCTCAGGTTTCTTCCTTCTTCTTCTCCCCGTTAAAAGAGTTCTCCCTGTACTGATGTGAGGGTCCGAGGATGTCGCATGTGTACAGATTGTAAAGCCCCCTGAGGCAAATTTCTGATTTTGGACGATACAAAATAAATTAAATTTGAATTGAATAGAATATGACATTTTTCACCCCCCCCCCCCCCCCTATGACTTTCTGTCTGTTACGTCCTCTTCTCTATTAGTCTCGGGCATAAGTAGGGACGAACACAGTAACAATTATTACTTTTTAGGACATATATACTATGACGTTTTCATAACATTTGTCAACATGCTATAGTATGAATTATTTATGACTTTTTTTTGACATAACTGATTTTTTTTACTCAATATACTATAGCATGACTTGTTCCACTCTTTATTAGCATGACTTTTTTCCACTTTTTTCGTCATAGTATATTATAACTTTTTAATAAATTTTTGGGACATACTATAGTGCGACTTTCTTTCCTTTTATTCAACATACTATATGAAGGCTTTTTTCGGCTTATTCTATGACTTCTTATGACATTTTTCAACATATATATACGACTTCTTTCTGACTTTTTTATGAATTTTTGTGACATACTACAATATGACTTTTCTCTAACTTTTTCAACATGATTCTATGACTTTTTTCGACACAATAGGACTTCGTATGACTTTTTCAACATACTATACTAAGATTCTTTTGGACATGGTATACTATGACTTTTTCATACTTGCTGTACTTGACATACTATACGATGACTTTTCGACATTCTATACTAGGACTTTCTATAACACACTATACTATGACCTTCATAAGACTTATTTTCAATATAAATTAACTTTTTTGACTTTATTCTACAAACTATAGTAAGTCCATATGACTTTTATTACATTTAGTCTTTTATGGCATAATATACAATTATATTTTCATAACATACCATTTTTTTACATTTTGTATGACAAATTATATTATGACGTCATAACTTTTTATGGCATGCTAAATTAGCTTTTTAATGATATTCTTACGGCATATTATTTATTGTCAAAGATATAATTTTTACGGCACTTTCTATGCGATATCTTATATATTTTTTTGCATACTATACACCGACTTGGTTGACATTTTGCATGACAGCATTTTTGTTACACTGTAAATTTTTCATAACATAATATACAATTACATTTTTTTGACTTTTTATCATGACATTTTTTCACGGCATACTCTCCGTGAAACTCACTCACTGAAACAAAAAAGAAATGATCAAGACAGTATTCTGCTTTACCCGTTTCTTCCTTCCTCAGAGTTCTTCCAGCATCCTCTGCTCCTCTGAGCTGCTTCTGATGGTTCTCCAGCTCTTACTCCTGCATCTTCTGGAGGACGGAGACATAGACCACCGACCATATCTTAGTATTTCAGACATTTTCAAGACCCTTTTATAACAAAGCTAAAGAGGCCACTGGATTTAGAATGTTTTGTAAACTTTCCATATTCAACAACATGAAAAACAACATAGCTGGTAATGAGAAAAAATGTCCTAGTCTGTATAACGTTCCTCTTGAAGTGTGTGACTAATAATATCACCCGTCTTAACATGAAGCACAACTGACAAGTTAAAATAAAAAGTAACCAGCGACAATACACCGATATATAATTTATAGTTAGCATTAAAACTGTTAAGTGGAGAATTGCATAATGTTGCTGAACAAAATAACAAAAAGATATGCAGGATTTGGACAAACCTGAGGACTCTTCCATAGGTCCCACAGACTGTGTAAACACCAGTCCACCTGCTACCGTCTATATGAAATACTGAAACCTCTACAGGGAACTGCTGAAGTCACCTGTGGTCACCTATATATTGTAACTAAAACAGGACGAAATGGACTTACTCGTGGAGGAATCCTCTTTTGCGGTTATAAAAGGCCATGTTAGCATATTCAACGCAACATAATTAAATAGAAAAATAACATTTGGCAAGCTTTTAGGATCAGGTTTATGAAGACCAACAGCAGATAAATACCTCCCTCTAGTGGTTAATGAGAGAAGCATTTGGATTAGCAGTAAGAGTAGGTTCTCTTAAGTCTATACAGGTGGTTGTACATATTACAGCCCTTTAAATATTAATTGCATATACTTTTTACTCCTGAACCTCTTTTGAAAGCATGTCATAGGTTCTAAGATTGAATGTAAATGATTGTATTTAAAGGCAGCTGTTATTAACAGTCTGAAAATCAATTAAGGAAAAAAACAACAACTCTACAGTTCTTGGTTCCTGAAGATGCGTTGCCTTCTACAGTATTAAGCACAACACTGGGTAAAAACACTGTGAACCTTTATTGACAGCAGCATGTATACTTTTTATATATATCTGATTATTGTGAACATTTGCTGAAGCAGATTTAAAAAAAAAAAAAAAAAAAAAAAAAAAAAGTGCATTGGATTAGAAAATATAAAAAAAAAAAAAAATAAAAAAATAAAAAATAAAAATTGGAAACAGTTAAGATAATCCTTCATTTACCAGGCACTTAAATGAATACTGGTGACCAGCAGCCCCTCTTTTGACCTCCTTTGTACTTTGTGTTAGCATCTTCAGACTGAACGCACACCGAGATGGACAGTGAGAATGAATACAGAGCATCAGAGAAGTACCTTTATGTTATGAACATAGTTATAAAAAAGAAGACAGGACCTTCATCATAAATAAACAGGCACCTGCATGGTCTACTACACAACATGATAGAGATAAAGAGGGATGTTCTTTTAAGTGAAGTTAGTGCATGGCTTCTACATTATGTACACATTGCCGGGTGTGATGGTCCACTTCGCACAAAACAACTGGACCCGGAGGAAAACTGATTGGACCTCTGAAGAAATGATGCCGCAGGTTAAAGACAGCGACAGGCTGCAGGCCTGCAACATGGTAATGTGGAGTAATGGGTGTTCTTACCCATAGGTTGTGACCAACAAGCACCTCAAAGTTAATACAAGAACAGAACAGTCTTTAAAAAAACAAACATACAAAGCCCACACTGGCACAATCATCTATTAAATATATTCCTTGGCTATAAACTTGATCTTTTTTTTCATGTTCCTGAAGTGTTACCATAACACAGATGACTTTTTCCACAAGTTTCATCACGGCCCAAATCACAAAGCGTAACAGACTAACCTTCATGCAAACCCTATTCCGTTTCTTCTTTGAACGTGCACTGCAGCGCGGGAACAGTCCAGTGCACTTGATTGGACCAGTTTAAACGATCTCACTCAACACACTCCGGAGTGGTTGAAGCTTCAGTGCTCCAATGAAGTCACATCAGGTCCCGCCTCCCCTTCAATATTCTTCCAGAGTTGACGGAGCAGTGAACCTACATTTCAGAGGGATTTCCTAAACATCAGACCAATAACTTCCATTGATCTGAGCTAGTGAGAGCACTGTAACATACTACAAAGCAGTCGGAGGTCTGGGTGAGGGCGTGTGTGTGTGTGTGTGTGTGTGTGTGTGTGTGTGTGTGGAGGGCTGGAGGCACTGAGGTTGTGAGGCTCTGTGAAACAAAGAGTCTCTGGGACAGAGCGGTCGCAGACAGGCAGGCAGGGTCACAGTGGAACCACAGACTCACGGGAAGGGTCATCCATGCTGCGGTTAAGGCAAACGTGAACTCCCGGCACTGCTCACGAGAAGCCATTCACACAAACGTGAGTGCGTTTCCACTGATGTACCAAAGAAGTCTTATCCACACACACACACACACACACACACACACACACACACACACACACACACACACAGAGTTTGAAATGCATATAAGAAAAGTGTTTCCTCCTCGAACCCTCTTCCCTGAAATGTTTGAGACTAATAATCCAGCATTCCTGTCTTTATTTTGGAGGAAGGGGGGGGGGGGGTCAAAGTTCCCCTCGGATGTGGGGTCATGGGCGTCTCAGACTTTGCTGTCAGAGGGCAGGTCTCCCAGGGCGTGGACGATTTCAGTGAAGGAGGGGCGCTCTTTCAGGCTTATCGCCCAGCAGCGGACCATGAGCTTGTAAATTTTGGAGGGGCATCCATCTGGAATTGGCAGCTTCAGCTTTCCTGTCTGCAGACCTGGAGGGGCGAAGGACCAGAGGAGTGAGGGAGGTTAAACCCAATCAGAAACACGGATACACGTGGTGGTTAATAGGGGCCTCTTAGCTCTTGAAAGACCCCGACATGTTGTTGTTTGGTGTGCTGGATCAGAACCTGGACTAAATATAAAAGCCTCACACTGACCTTCCAGCACCTCGTCGTCGCTGAGTTTGGTATAAGGCATTTCCCCGAGACTGAACACTTCCCACATCAAAACTCCAAAGGCCCACATGTCAGACTTGGTGGAGAAGTCGTCTTCAAACACGGACTCTGATGGGAGCCAGCGCAGCGGGATCCATGCCTGTCTGTAGTGGTAGTACTCACTACGCACATGTTCACAGGAGACACAACAGGGAGATGGAAACCACTCAAATCAGCCAGATGAACAGAGACTTTCTTTTTTTGAAATTAGAATGATGGCATTTACTGTAGTTGATTATTTCAGTGGGTGGTTATTGTTAAGTTCCTTTTCTGACGGACCTGTTGTAGACGTCCTTGCTGAGGCTGAGCGACGACACTTTAATGCGTCTCTGACTGTTGATCAGGCAGTTTCGGGTGGCTAGGTCTTTGTGAACGAAGCGGTGATTGGACAGATGCTCCATCCCATGAGCCACCTGGGCACAGATGGAAACCTGTAGAAACAAAAGAACCGTCAGGGTACTCAACTGACCAAGAAAGCATGAGATAAAACCATGACTTTCAATTTCTACACTTTGGCTTTTATATGGAATAAACAAAGAAGATGTAACGTGTTATTACGTGAGCTGAAGAGGTGCTGGTGGGTTTCTTTAACTTTGCACAGAGCCAGGTTAGCTGTTGTCTCATGTTTAGTCGTCTGGACCCTGTCCTTTTGAGGTTAACTGCTTCAGTTATAGTTGGGTCCTTGATACATATTCTAATCTTTCTCTTAGCTCGGGAATTGTTCCCTAAAATCTGGATAACTGCACATATGTTTCCACTTCACAATCTTCGCTATACGCCAACCGTCTCCTGGCTGCAGCTTCATATTTAGCGCAGTCTGATCTACTTATCTGACCTTAAGAGGAACGAGTATTTCAACACTTACTTTGGTCTTGGTGCTGATAGGCTGAGATTTCACCTTGTCATCTTTGCTTTTGGAAATTCTCAGGAACTGCTTTAGGTCTCCCTGTTATGATAAAAGCAACAAAAAAAGAATGCATGAATAAGATTTAGTTTATTATTATTTTTAAGCTGCGAGTGGGCGCTTCTATTTCTGTGTGCTTACCAGGTCATAGTACTCCAGGATCATGTAGTGGGGCTCCGCCTCCCTGCACAGGCCCAACAGGCGGATGACGTTGGGGTGGCTGAGCTTGGCGAACATTTCGGCTTCGCGGCGGAAGTCCAGCTGGAGCTGCTCGTCTCTGCCCTGCAGGCTCTTCACCAACACCACCGTCTCCTCCTCGCTCTCCTCGATACCTTTAGCTTTGCACAGCAGCACCTCACCAAACTCCCCTTTGCCTGTACAAACATTCACACACACACAACAGTGTGTAAATGTCAGAGCACATGCTCAATGTGTTGCACATCTTGTTTTATTAGGTTATCTTAGGTTACGGCTTAAAGATCAGGTGACAGAGCACAGGGACATTCGTTCTCAGTTAATACACAGAAGAGAAGAGTTCAAATCAATCCACCTAGAGTTGTGATGGTTTGTAGGTTTGCTCGAGGAAAGTGGAGCTTATCGTTGTTGACGTGGCTGTGGCGTTTCTCGGTTGTTGCCATGGTACCCATATTGGTGAGAGCCACCTCCTCTTGGATCTCAGCGGTGGTGTGGCCATTTTGCTGAACAGCTCCTCCTCCTGATGAACACAACACACATCCCACAGGCTCAGGGTCAGACGCAATACCGCAAATCTCTCTGTGAATGTGACGTGGGTCCAAACAGAGTGCAATGTATTCATCGTTGTTCTGTGAACACCTACTCGATGCTCCGCTCAGACAAATTCAAGATAAGCGTGAGAGACGATGGCTAACGGAGAACAAGGTGGTATTAAATGTGGAGCAAAGACGCCATTTAAAAAGAACAAATAAGTAATTTTGGATGTTGTTTCTGGTACAGAACTTCTTTACAGTGTGCTATTTTTGGAGTTAGTAGTTGCAGTCAAATGTAAATCAAACTGTGACTTAGGAATGTCTTATGGCTGACCGTTTCTCACATAATGTAATATTTATCATGCTCTGAGCTGTTCCATCATCCACGTTTAGTTTGTTTTCCAGCTCAAAGCAGCTGCTACGTTTCCTTGTGTACATCAACCTGCTCAGCAATCTTTTTTTTTGTATGCATATTGAATGATGAGTATGCTTCATTGTGTCACTTTTCCAGTATTTACACATGATGCACTCAAAATCTGAAGTGTGCCGTTATCTTACAGGTTCACTGCAATACCTTAGATAAACACAAGATGGCAGCAAATACCCTAAACCTTTCAACAACACTTAGAGGACCATGAGGTTGAGGGAATATCGACTACTCACTTAACCCTCGGGCTGATTGTACAACTGCCTGACCACAAATGAATACAAGTCCATCTCCACCAAACATTCGTACCGTTCAGACACTCCATCTCGGGCTCCTCTCCGTCCTGGCCTTTCTGCAGTCTTTTAGCGTTGCGTCTCTTTTTGCAGTAGAACATGAGTCCGAGCACGACGATGATGTAAGCCACGGCTGCTCCCACCGACAGGCCGATGGTTTGGATCATCTTGTAGGGAGCCTTGTCTATTTCTTCATCGAAGGAATGCGATAATTTTTCTGTCGGGCACAGGCATTAAATATGGTCAACTAAAAATGTCCTGAAACAGTGTTTATCTTTGACACACCCAAGTCTTTAATCAGCATCGCATATTGTGTTACATCTTTCAGCACATTCTTTTGTCTTAGCATCATCACAGGTATGCAAATTCAATTTCACAGAAAAAGCTCTACAGAAGAAAACCTTTATATCTGTTTCATAGATTAAAAAGGTGCTTGCATTGAATTTTAGCACAGTTTAAAACATAATACTAGTTTGAAACGGTCACTTCATTCAACAAGTTGCCGGTGAGGCGTTGACCCTGACAAACTATGGCAAACATCTAAATTCAATTGTCTCTTACTTTGAACTAAACTGGACTACCACTCTACTACTTTGCGAGATAACGAGTTGATGTGGGAAACTAATGCTAAAGTGTGTGACTGTAATTTTCAGCTCCAGTCCGCACACACACAAGGCACCAGAGAGAGTGAAGCGTTGTTAGATCTAACGTCTGCCCAAACCCATCACCTCGGTGACAGCTGTGGCGTCAGAGTTGAGGCTGTGGTTATTAACCTGTCGAGACGGACGATAGGCAGAGGGTGGACGTTTAATTAATGCCCTCATCCTTTTACTTCGTGTTCGGGGCTTTCGCCCCATGTGTGCAACCTTTGTCCCCGACAAAAGCAGCCTGTGTATACGTGTGTGTGTGTGTATTGAACTCACCCACTACATACAGCTTAGCCACACGGTCTTTGATGCTGCAGCTGTTTCCGGCCACACATGTGTACCTGCCCGTGTCATCGGTAGTAACATCTGTAATCACCAAGGAGCCATTGGGCATCTTCTGGAACCTGGAAGAAAGAAGGGACGGAACAGATGAAGACTGAGGTCTTTTACAACAAAGTCCACTTCAACTACACAACATGCAAGAGCATTTTCATATTCTCATCCTGAGTCTCTACTATTTTCTTGTGTAAAGTATCAAGTTGAAACCCTTTTAACGGCACAAACGTGTCATAAATAGCTAGTTTCAACCTGTTCATTAGCAGGTGGCTGTGTGTGAGATTTGATCTTTAGCATAATTAACACCCTGCCTGCTCCTCTCCCTTTGTGGGCAAGGTTCATTCACAAAAACGTTACTCAAGTGTTAAGAGAAGGACTTCACACCACAGCACCCACCGTTGGAAATCAGAAGGCAAAACCAGAAACACTTAGCAGTGTCAGCACTGGTATTAGATAATATTAGTAAAACAGATGTCGACAAAGCAGGCGATGGAGGGGACATGCGACAGTCACAGAGATGGAAGACAGAATATCACAATGTACAGGTAAGTGATGGACAGCAACCTGCATAAATACCCTGAGGCAACTGTTGCATTGAGAAAACTTTCCTGACTGCTGAAAAGTTGCCATGTTGACATATGCCAATAAATCTAAAAATATAGTGCACAAAATATAACTTTTGCATTATATTTACTTTAGTTGTTCATGTTTATTTCTGTTAATTTTGTTGAAAAGCCTGAATTCATTTAGATTAAAGCATTCTCATTGTCAAGTCAAACCAGACAATTTGTGTTGTTTTCTCTTTGTGGAGAGAGGCAGGACATCTGTTCATGACTCATACGAAAGGTCTGGACCACACGTGTATATCTGCTCACTACTAAAAGAAAGCACAATAAAATTGGGGACTAGGATTTAAGAGAACTTGTCTCTTAAATCCCTTATATATGCCACTTCAAAACAGATCTGGTAGTGAGAGAAGCTCTTGCATGAGGCCCATTGTATTCAGGTGTGCAATAGTATTTTTGCACAAGCTAAATCTTTTATGAACGCACGGACCTGCAACTGCAATCAATCCTGTTTGGAACCTGTAATCACAACCTGTAATCCTAATCCACGACGGTTGATGGCAGATCAGGAAGCCACGTGTCTCACTTACCTCTTGTTCTTACTGATGTCCAGCGTCTTGTCTTTGGCCATCCAGTGGATGTGAGGTTCGGGGTCGCCGGTGGCCTGACAGTGCAGGATGGCTGTGTAACCTTGGTACACCGTTGTATTCTCCGGTTCCACCTTAAAGCGAATGTACACTGTGTGCACAAACACGCACACACTCATTAAAACAACACTTAGACCACAACTGGGCCATAACATTTCCTTTACAGACTGTGGTGACTGTGGTCAACATCTCAGTCACACTCTTACAACCCAAATTCATTTCGTTACTGGGCAATAAAAAAAGCCACCGAGCGCACATTAAATGCTTCTGTGTTCGCCGCATGAAGAGGATCAATGACTCGTACGTACTGAGACCACAAACAGTTTCTATGTGGGATTATTGACCAACACGGCGGCGTGGCCCTTTCTTTCAGCATGACAGTGAGCGGGTTTACCTGCCACAATGAGGGTCACCAGGGCCCGGATCTCCCCCTGGAGGCTGTTGGAGGCGATGCAGGTGTAGTTGCCGGCGTCGCTGCGGGTGACTTTGGTGAAGCGGAGCTGGCCGTTCCTCTGCTCCACCTGGGGCGGCAGCTCTCCTCCGTCTGCAGGGGGAGACAGAGAGACAGAGGGAAAAGCGGGGTTAGGGCGACTCAGTGTTGCTGCATGTGGGATTCAAGTGGTTAAGTCGATGGCAAACGCAGATGAATGGAGGAAATGATCCATGATGATTAAACTTCCTCGTACTCTGTTTATTACAGATGTTTCCACACATGCTTGTGGAAACATCATTTTTCATCATTAGGGGAAAAAAAAAAAGGAATGAAGGGTACTGCTGCATTTTGAAAGAGACATTTAAAGAAAGTGTTTAACAGTCCTCATCTGACTTAAGCTATTTTTGAGCTAAGGTTTAGCCAGCGACGTGCACACCTGCTTTGGTCCAGCGGATGGTTGGGCTCTCTCTGCCTTTAGCAGAGCACTGGATGGTGATCTCGTTATCCAGCTCCAGGCACTGAGAAGGCTGGGGGGTCGGCGTGAACTTCAGCTTCTCTGGAACGCAAGTCAAAACACCACACGCACATTACACACATTGTAAACATGGTGGTGGTGGAGGGGGGTGGGCGGGTGGGGACATGTCAAAGCCTCTTTTGTGCAACTCACACTGCAGAAAAAAATGACACTAAGCTGATGCTAATCAAGTTCAGACACATTCAAGAAAGTGGCTTCACGCACACGTGTAGACTGTAGACACAGATCTGTGTCTACAGTCTGTATGAAAACTGAAGTCTATCAGAGGCTGAGATCATATAAACAGAGATCGGCCAGACAAAGCAGCGACACGTCAGGCCTTCTAGCACAGTAATCCTACAGCAGCAGAGCTCTACGCTGACAGGGTTCTAACATGGAGAGACTGTGCTAAAATGGAGGCTAGAATAAAGCTGCCCTGCTTTAGTCATATTTTACACCTCTGTGGCTGTCCTGCTGGGACACAACATGAACATGGAAACACACACTCACAAGCCCACAGGCATGACCACATTTGTTTGATATTTACTCTCAACAATGTATTACTCATTATTGCCTGGATGGGATTTCACTCATTACACATCATCTTTCAGTCAGTCGGGGGAATAACTTCACATATTTGCTCGGTGTACGCTCAAAGAATAATCTAGTGTGTGTGTGTGTGTGTATATATATATATATATATATATATATATATATATATATGACGTAACTCCCTCACTGCTTACCAAGTACACCAACTCTAGCTTGCCCAGACAGTCGGCCGCCTACAGTCTTGGTTTCACAGCCGTACATCTGCCCGTCGTACACCTCCACACTGTTGATCCTGAGGGTGCCGTTAGAGAACAGCTTGAATCGAGAGTCCTAGAGGGAAAAAGAGAGGGAGATATTTTAAAGTTTAAACTTTCATCCGCTGGGTGTAGAAAGAATGTCTGAAAAGGGCACCAATAATGGTGTTTGGGTGCGTTATTGTATTGTATTACAGTATGGTAACTGACCTCTGGCGTGATCATGATGTTGTTGCGGAGCCACGTGACCTCAGGTTCAGGGTTGGCCTGAGCGTGACAGTGAAGGTAACCTGGCTTACCCTCCTCTAGGTGGCTGTCCTGAGGCCTCGTCACCCACACCGGGGCGGCTGTGATCACACACACAAAGAAAATATTATACAAGTATTATATAAGCACAGACAACTACCCACACAGAATATACACAGCTACATCAGTGCCTTGAAGGACCACACTTCTTCATTCTTGTATAGATGTTGTATAGTTTCTACTCTTATACTAGTCGTGTATTTCTGTAATTCTATTTCATTCATGCGTATTTAAACTGGTCTATTTATTGTTCGTGTTCTTGTATAACATCTGAATTTCCCCTCTGGGGATCAATAAAAGCTGATTTTATCTTAATGAGCTTAGCCCACTGGTCATGACCCAGACATAGACACCATTAATCCCTGTGTATCTAGAAGCTCCACGTGTTCCCAGCATGCTCCTGACATTAAGGAACAAGACTTATTGTGAATGAAAGAGTGCTACAATGACCTGTGCTGTTTGTTAGGCCTTATTGGCTTGTGTAGCTAAAAACTCAACAAATATAACTATTACACTATTTTGAGTATCGAACTTAACATTAAACACATTATGTGCGTCAATAAACATAAAGGCATTTTAGTTCAAATTAAAGCAGCAGAGATATCCTGATTTTTTTAAATATCTCGAGTCAGGGCAAAGCTCCAAAAACACTGGATCCTACATCTCCCATAATGCTTTGTGAAAACACCTTTCAATAGATCTCCCCGGCCCTCTACACGCAAACTTCTTTCAAACCACATGCGTCCAGTTTATAATGCTTCCTGCAAATAATTTGAAGTCTCAGGCCCAAGCTAAGGGTTTTTCTCTCATTTTTTTTTTTACAACATTACGAAACAGTTTCCCAGGAGTTGTAGTCCTTGTGATGGGTAAACTGAAGTGTCCCTTTAAAGCTGTCTGCGTATGACTCACTGGCCACAGTGAAGGTGACCTCCTGTGTCCTGCGTCCTGCCCTGTTCTGGGCCACGCAGGTGTAGGTGCCCGAGTCTCCTTCCTCTGTGGGACTGAAGATCAGATCCAGGCCGTCCTGGTACACTCTGCCCTCCGTGGGCACCCGCTGACCTCCTCTCTCCCACCAGACCTGGGGCTCAGGTCTGCCGCGTGGGGGACGACAGGCTACCCGCTGCAGGGTGTCCGCTGTGAAAACCTTTGAGTACTTGGGCACCACGTCTTCTATGTCTGTGGTTGGAAAGCAGAGAGAGTGAGGAACTTTTAGCATGAAGTAGCAATGCAGAATGAATTGATTTCCACTCGCACAAGGCCCCTGATAATCACATATCTGTCTTAAAAGCCAGCGAAGCGTTACTGATTTTTTTATTTCATGAGCAGCCCCGAGCGCACTTAATTCCAACGCACGGTTCCGTTAGCAGAGATCCTGTCTGGTTAGTGAAAGTCCTCTGAGTTGTAGCGCCGGTCACAGTAATTCGAGAACAAAGCACACAGTAGGCCAACTGGGTATATAGGTTGTGTGGGAATTAACTACGGCCTGTGTGAGGTGGGTCATATCAAAACTGGCAGCCCCTATACAGAAAGGTGGAATGTGATCTGTGGTACAAAGACTCACAAGACCTCCCACTACTGTGTGGTTTAATGTGTGTGTGTCCCAAATGGAAGTCATTAATACTTTATTGGCCGACAACGCTCTGAAAGCTGGTCAGTGGCTACGACCTTCTATGAGTCCAAGATCTAAATCAATTAATGAGAACAGAAGAAAACACACATTTCTCAGCGGATGAAAGGGAAGTCGAGAAGAGGGGGGGGGGAATGAATTAGGTTGAGCTACGATGGAGTGACTGTTTAAACTTCTCCCTGAATACTGAATTCTACTGTGACACAATCCCCTATGATGCCTGCAGGGATTACCATCAGATTAAGTGAATTAAGGTATTTAAATGGAGCCGTGGTTCACTGGGTTAAAACTGCAGAAACAGCCGTGCCTCCTTAATCCAAAACCCTTGGGGAAAAGGGGGCTGATCGAGGGGAATTAACTGTTCGAGATTCTGAAACGCATAGAAATTCCAGCGCTAAGCTTATACAAAATATTTGACTTGCATGCACTTGCATTTCCAAATGCTGACTGACTGATACTACAGATTGTTTTTCTGCTTTACACTCAAGCAGCCATTCAAATTTTTATTTTTTATTTTGGAGTAATGGTTACAGGAAAAGAGCAGGCGCCGTTATGTGCAATATTAAAACAACTGTATGTGTCTGGACTTGTATGTTACATTGTTTTCCCTGCAATTATGAGAACCTGATCTTTGAGCACAACCACCACATTATATTGTTTATAGTTCGTCTGTTTTAAGTGGTTTAACACACGTACTCATTTGGAAGTAGTCATTTCTTAGCAGTAAATTTCCACTGATGTTGGTAGAAAATCACAGAAGCAGCTCTAATGACATTTCACAAGCTCATAATTACACTGCTTGTTAACCAGCTTGAGTCACACTGGTACGCTATCTAATGTTGCTTGATCAGCCAGGTGCTGTTACACTCGGGAGAAGCTTTTTGAGCGAAACAAGTTTGGCAAACGGCCGGACTGGAGGAGGAAATAATATGGAGGGGAAGCAGGAAAATGCACCGGCGTGGCGTGTGTAGTGGATACAGCTGGGCCGGATGTCAATAAGGGAATGTGATTATCATTGGAGAGATCTGGCTCTAAGTGAAAGAGCCAGAAGAAGAAGAAGACGGGAGGGGAGAGCAGAATGCGATTGGAGGGCGGAAAAATATGTAATCCAAATGCCCCACTCACTCTCAGATTACAGAATCACAGGTGTTTATCTCTCACCATTTCAACAACTGCAAATATGTGTGTGTGTGTGTGTGTGTGTGTGTGTATGTACCAGCTATGAGGAGGGAGGCCTCCAGTGTAACATGGGACCCTCTGAGGCCACGGCCGACACACTTGTAGGTCCCCGTGTTCCTGGGCTTCACCTGGGTGATGAGCAGTGTGCCGTTGGATAACAGGATCAGACTGCGGAGGAGAGACGACTCAAACACGTTAACACTTCAACCTCTGCCCATTCATACCGTCTCCCCATCGCTGTCCAACAGACAAAAGGGTGTCACACATCATTTGTACATGAAAGCACATTAACAGCAGTGCATGTTGCAGGAATGCTTTCTGCACACATGCAACTCCCACCGCCAGAACTTGCTCAGATGGCATCTGAAAATAATTTGCAGCATTTATTTCGGCCTGCTGGGAGCACCAGATGGAGATGCTCTGCCACACAGGACAATACAAGTGCCAGAGTGCAACAATAGAAAGACAAATTTAGCACAGGCCTACTTTTTCCCGTTCTTGGCGTGTTATCTGATGCTATGTGAATTGCCCCGATTCACTAAACCCAAGCAATCTGCTGCCGCAATTAGGTTAAAGTAAATGCTAAGAATTTGTCCGCCGAAGAAGGAACACAATTTAATTCTAAAAAGGCTTTTTAAAGAGCTGGACTGATGGCTGCTGCCGCCCCCCCCCCCGGCCTCTGGCAGGCTGAAGGGAGTATCAGTGCCAGTGATGGACGGGATGAGATGTAATTAAAGGCCGACCTTCAGCCAGCTTCAGGACTGTAAAATAAGGAGCTGTGCACGGCACAGAACAGAGCTCAACAGACCGGACAACTCAACAGCCCATCACAGCTACAAGACAAACATCACAAAGCTTGTGGGAAAATTGAAAATGTAAAGCAGAGTGGAATAAGTGATGCTGGATCCAGTTAGGATGCTAAGTTTTCCATCCAGGACTATCTGGCTCTGCACCGGGTTCCCTCAGGACGGCTGATATTTCTGTCTTCTCTTCTTCTCTTCTCAATAGCGGGAGGGAAATGAGCTGTGGGAGCTTGCGTGTGTGAATCTGTGTACCTCACTCTGAGGGAACTCTAAAATAACCACAAAACAAAATGAACAAAGGCAGCGCTTCATCTTTATAGCTACATGCGCAGAAAGAATTGGTACGGTTCCTCGTCTCTCCCTCCTGAGTTGGTTTGACCCGTGGGGCAGAATTCTTTCTGTCTGCTAAAATAGCCTTGAGCTCACTCCGGTATGTTTTTTCTTAGTTTCACACGCGTGAAAAACAATCGACATCAAATATTCACACATGATCTAGAGGGAGGGTTGTCAAAACAGTGCAGGTGCGAAACAGATGATATCTCCTGCAGAGAGCTGCATTCCTCTGGCGTTATATCAGCGCAGATCAATAAACACAAACACAAAGGCGGCCTTGGAATACCTCAACCACAGAGAAGCCAGGATTTTAATGAAACAGTCTGCGCGCATGCTTTTATATTCATGCTTAATACCCATCCATCTGTAATCCCGGTGCTGAGTCATCACTGCCTAGGTGACCAAGCCCGCCTCCAACAAGCTCATTATACAAGTGACTAAATATTGATGCTGAAGTCCTTCTCTTCCGTCCCTCACTGAACACAATAATCACTTTACAATACAAAACAAGGCTCTTGCTCCACATGTGGAACAGCTTGCCTCCAACGTGTCCATGTATAAGCATGAGGTGCTATGAGCCCTGAGGGTATACTTGCCACTTGGTATAGAAATTGGTTATTATCTAGTGTGCTTATAGGGGACATGCTGGTAAGCGTACTGTAGCTTAAGGGCTGCAGGAGAGCTGCAAAGCCCTTTGTGATAGGCTGGAGAGAAAGGCTGTGTTCAAGTGATGTATAGTAGACGGCAGAGAAACTTTACAGCGCTCTGCTCCAGTAATAATATTCCTTAATGTGCAATTCATCTTGCATGCGAGTTGTAACGGCACACAGAGAGCTGAGAGCCCATCGCAAGGGTTTACGCCTCATTGGGTTCAAAAGGAATATCCGATTGTGGCTGAAGCTTATATAACTGTACGTAAGGAGTGGGGCCCGCGTGGAGGGAGTGGGGTCGAGAGTCTTGAGATGTGCGATAAGAAAGAGGAGCGTGTTGCAGAAGGGGAGAATTTAGCGCTCAACATACCGAGACTTGTTTGCCAGCAGCTCGTTTTCGTGGTACCACTCCAGCGTGGGGGCCGGCACGGCGGTGAACTGGCAGTGGAGCGAGGCCTCCTCGTTCTTCAACACCACCTGGTCCTCGGGAGTGACCACCGGCCGCGGAAAACTCTTATCTGTTTAGAGGGGTAGACAAACATCTGCATGATTACATCTGCAGGCGTCAGGCCGCCAGGTTCCATCTGCACGGATGTTGTGCGTCGCTCCGATCTATTCCGATCTTTATTAAAAGCTGCCAACAGCAGCATGGGGCTGGTGAGCAAGCGGCCTTCAGGTGACGGTGTGTGTCAACACCTCAGGGGCCCCGGGGAGACTTAATGAGGTCAGTGAACCGACCCTGCTGCTTATCTGGACCATCATCTCCTCCTTTTTTCTTTTAACCACCTGGAGAATAAAATCACACAAAGGAGACCATCTCTCTCTTCTCTGTCATAATCTTAACTCACGCTATGGCAAGAAATTGGGGTTAGGGAGGGACTCAAGTGGGGTCGACTATTATGGAAGCAAGACAAATCTGTGCCTGAATGATCAATTTAATATATCATTTAATGGGTAAAAACTATTTAGGGCTGGTCATATTGTATTTCTTGCAATGGATGTAGCTGGATTTTCGATATCACCCCAAAACACGGCACAGTATTTTCCTTCTATTCACATTCTTATGACTCTTTCGAGCCTCCCGGCTGCCCTCTAACACTAGACAAGGCTGCTCTGACCTGCCAAAACCGGAGATTTGCTACATAACATCCTAGAGGAGGAGTAAAAAATAAAATAAAATACCTCACAGACTTTAGCACATTGTTATTCTCCAAATACAAAGCTGAAGCTCAATAAAGAAACAGGAACACGAAAATACCCTTAATCCAGGTTCACGTGTGTGAGTCTTTTCAAATCTGAACAGCTAATAGAGGCATGGTGCCAATAACAGTATTGGCCCCGGTCGGTGTGAAGAAAAAGAAAGGCGTTCACACCTGGCCCACCCAGGAAGTCGGTGGGAAGAGCTCATCTTAAAGAGCTGTGACCGTGCATTGAAAAGCTGTCAGCCTTTCCTTAAGGTGAAGCCCTATAGAGGAGCAGAGGGTGGCAACATGGTAACTGGAAACTCAACAATCACCCATTCTTCCTCCACACAGGTGCTAACCTGGCGTGCCTCTGTGTTGCAGGTGACTAATTAGAGTGGAACGGGGCATCAGGTTTCATGCACAGATGTGCTGCTGTATGGAATCTACTTACTCAGTGGTGTACTGAGGGGATAATAGGAGGGGGGCGCGCGCACACACACACACACACACACACACACACACACACACACACACACGCACACACACACACACACACACACACACACACACACACACACACACAC